GTATCGACTCCTCGAATAACGTCAGCTTTTAATACAAGTTTTTAATCCACTTTAATTACTTGGTTGTAATTCCGTTCTTGCGAGGGCTGATGAGTGTGGTTCGCTCCGTGTCCAGTCCCAAAAAGAAAATATATTTTTCTAGTCTCGTGGTATGTGACCACCGATTCATTTATCGTATGTCAGTGTGGGCGTTTTCATAGTGGCCATGTCAATTCGTGTCTATACCGATATGATGGTTCGCGTCTTGAATAACTATTGGTTACGTACATTCATCTGGCAATCCTCCCCATTTTGAAGTTTAGCTTTGACAGTTTTGTTATGTTTACATTTCTTATAATCGTTCTGATGTCTATTATTTGGGCAATAAAAAATAATAGATCAATACGAATGCCATAGTTTTTACCTAGCTCGTGGGACTACGCAAAATTTTGACAGCTTGTAAATATGTATACACATAAAGTTGTTGGCGGTAATAAGGAGTCAAAATTAAAATAGAGAAAAGAACAAAAAGCGTAGATTAGTTGTCAGTTATAAAATAAATCCAATTTATTTGCGAATATTTGTTTATTCTTTTTATTGAAAGGCAACCACTCGGAAAAGCTTGTGTTAATTATATTTATAACAGAACCTGGCAGCTCGCACGTTGTCTAAATTCTCAAGTAACATAAAGTCCACAAAAGAATAAGTACGCCATGTATAAATTTTAACAATACACAAAAATAGAGCTTTCGCACGAGTGTTTGTTTGGTTTTTCAACACCATTGATAATTTTCTTTTAATAAAATCACGATTTGACAAATGCTTAAATTTATTTATCTAATAATAATACAGCACACAACCCTGAAATCTAAGAAAAAGTCTGAGGAAGGCCATTAAATAGCAGCACACAACCCCGTGCCTTCCTCAGGAGTGAATATAACTACAACAACAACGACTACTACAACAACAACCCAAAAAGGTTGGTTACTGTCTATACTGTCACCCCTCAGTGGAAATTAATAGAGGCAAAAGGTGCCGTCACATTTCTTCCGGCAAATCCCCAGCCATGTTGTTGCATAGAATAAAGAAGTTGTGAGCATCAAATCTGGACTATTCATTTTATAAAATAGACAAACTTCAAAAAATAAATGATGACCGACGAATTGAGCAAGCGCTTTTACCTTTAAATATTTGTATCATGGGTGTATTAAACAAAGTGTTATTGACAACTCAGTGCGGCTCTCTTAATATTATGTTAAAAATATAAACAAACGATTCAAAATGCATAAAATTTTTTTTTCAATTTGACTATAGGATGGTTCTTCTGAGAGCAATATCAAATTCAATCACACTTTGTTAAATACATTTTGATCTCTACCAAATAATATACTCCTTCTGTAAATATTCTATGAAGTGTTCCAAAATTTGCTCCGAGCGCGTTCACTGTTGATCATTTGATTTAAATAGTTTGTCATACAATTAATACTATAGTTTGATCGGAGTTAATATATTCTTCAGTAATTAATTATATTATATTCAAACATAAGCTTATAAGAAATTTTTTAGTCTTAACATGCATATTTTATATCGTGTTCCAAAATTCGCTCCGAGCGTGTTCACTATTGATATTTTGATTCAAATATTGTTTGTCAAGCATTCAGTAGTGAAGTTTGATCGGAGTTTATATATTCTTCAGTAATTAATCATATTACATTCAAATATAAACGTATAATATGGTAGAAAGTTAGAAATTATTT